AGGCCAGTGCTGTAGATACAGGTCAGATGTCAGTGCTGTAGATACAGGACAGATGTCAGTGCTGTAGATACAGGGCAGAGGTCAGTGCTGTAGATACAGGGCAGAGGTCAGTGCTTTAAAGCTTCAGAAATGCCATATTCTGTTCAAGAGCTTCACTATTGTGCAGTTTTGTCAGAACTTGAACGTTGTGATGAATTTGTCTGTGTGTTAGTGTTGAAGTCCCCGGTTAACGAGCTGAAGTGTCCCCGAGGCCTACGGGAGCCCGACTTCCTGAACCTGCTGAGGTCCACCTTCCCTCAGGTGACCGGACAGTTTGACGTCTTCACAGTCGACGCAACCAGGAAACTGACGCCACTGCAACTACAAACACTGACACCAGAAGAGATCCAAAGGTCCATCAAATCCACGGGGAAAGGAAGATCGGCTTTGTATATCCGAGCACAGGTAGATCCTCAAAGGGAAACCATTTACAGCATACTGAGCCCGCACCAGTGATCAATACACACATTATTAAAGCATTAATCAAACTAATAACTAACAGCAGTCAAACAAATGATCAGACTTTAGCAGTTAGCTAAACGTGGACATTTTGAGCATTCAGCTACTAAAGGTTGAGAATTAACTCCCGTGATCAACTGTTGATTTCTTCCAGAGAGCAGAGAAATCGCTGATCAACACGGAGCAACCTCCTCCTCCAGAGAGCGAAGACGAAGCCACCAGTGACGCAGGAAACGCTGAGTGAGTCAAATGAAGACGGTGGACGGTGTCTTTAGGAGCTGGGTGTTAATAATACAACCTTATATAGTTTAAAGATAGATGTTCCCAATGTGTTAATCTTTAAGCATCCTCAGTTTCACATTCTGATTGTGTCAAAGATGAAGATACATTTAAATAATTCAGCTGCTTATTTTCTGTCTTCAGTTCTGTGGACACCAACAGAGTCAATCGTCTGTCCAACAACTCGAGACGGCAACAACAGATTGAAACAGCGGAGGACGGAGAACAACGCGGATTATCGGATGACTTTAGCGCCCTTTCTCCTGCTGAGAGCGACGGGGACAACGAAGAAGACGAAGAGGAAGAGGAAGAGGTGGAGAAAGATGGCAGAGATGACGACTGGAAACCAGACAGGAAAGAGGAAGGGCTGAGTGACGGCGAAGCTGAAGCGAACTCATCGAAGACGGCGAGGAGAAGGAGGCGAGTTGATCATTCAGGTGTAAAAACAAAAAGAAGGAAGCAGATGCAGTCGTCTCTGAAGGCGGCGACCGATGGCGGCGACGCTCCGTCCTGTAAAGTCTGCGGAGCGCTGCACAGGTCAAAGACCATGCTGATTAAACATGCCTTGAGTCACGTGGACGACTCAGAGCGGCGTTGTGGAGTGTGTGGAGAACATTCAGAGTCTGCTGAGGAGCTGGGGAGCCATCTCGAAAGTCACCAGAAAACTCACAGCTGCAACATCTGTGGAAAGTCTTTCCTCACTGTTGGCAGCCTAGAGAGACACGCTACTCTGCACACAGGAGAGAAACCGTACAAATGTGACATCTGCCATAAAGCGTATGCACATAAGGCAGGTTTAAGGAACCACGGGTGGGAACATGTGGAGGATAAACCCCACAAATGTGACCTCTGTAGTCGGTCTTTTGCTTTCAAACAGCAGCTGAGGGTTCACAGCAGCACCCACACAGGTGAGAAGCCGTATCGCTGCGACGTGTGCGGGAAATGTGTCGCTGACTTGCGAGCTTTATCCCGACACAAATTGGGTCACATAGGGGAAAAACGTTATGCCTGTCAGGTCTGTGGGAAGAGATTTTTAATTCCAGCCAAAGTGAAAGAACATGCGAAAATTCACACAACCCGAGACCGAACGTACCTCTGCGACGTTTGCTGCAAAATGTTTCACACACGAGGTCAGCTGAAGGTTCACATGAAAACACACAGCGAGGAGAAGATCATGTGCAGCGAATGCGGCAAAGGTTTGTCGGGTCGAGGAGCTCTGAGGAGACACATGATGATCCACACTGGGGAGAGACCGTACGAGTGCTCGAAGTGCGGGCGAACCTTTAACACTCAGAGTATTCTCAGAGAACATCTGAAAACACACTCTGACGTCAAACAGTTTGTCTGCGGGGTTTGTGGGAAAGCGTGCGCTCGCAAATATTATCTGACTGTCCACATGAGGACCCACAACGGAGAGAAACCGTACCAGTGCAGCCTCTGCGACAAAGCCTTCACTCAGAGCCACTGTCTGAAAACACACATGAGGAGCCACCAAGGGAAAGAGACGTCAGAACTGGATGGACTGAAGTCCTGAAAGGGTCTGTTCCTTTTCTACATAAAGAAAACTGAACGTGTTCCCTAAAGCTCGATGTGCCGAGTGTCTCGTTAATAACGGAGCAATCAAACAGCGTGGCACTAAGTGTTCACTGTAGCTTCATCAGGTCTGTGCTGATAAAGTAAAACTATCTGCACCAGAGAACTTCAGTGTGTCTCTGCAGTGTGACTGTCGACTGTACAGGACGGACACAGCGAGGGCAGATTGTCACTAGTTAATCAATCAGATATTTGTACTGCGAGTGAGAGCTGATAATGTTAATGTCCCGATCTGATCTCAACAATCTGTATCCCCACCGATCAGGGCGTTCTTTATTTGATTGGTGTCGGCTACTTTGAGCTCTACTGATCCGATTTTTTGTTTTCCGTCAGCTGTTTTTACTCTGGAAGCTTTTATGTGCCTCTGCTCGGAGAGATCTGACAGAACCAGACTCGACAGGCCACTGAAAGAGCAACAAAACCCAATAAATAAAAATAATTAATTGATGTAATCGGCTCAACAGATGTTCAAATAATGAAAATAAAGCGTCAGCCATAAAGCGTGTAGACAAGCTCAGGTTGCAGTATATTAATTACTGAACTAAAAGCCTCGGGGAGAGTCAGCGAGTGGACGACTGCTGTATAATTACAGCTTCAATAAACAGTGAGAGTCGGTATGTGACAAAGAATAGAAACTAAAGACGTGAACGTGGACAGAAAGGTTGATTGTTAGTGTCTGTTACACAGCTGTTACATTATCATCCCGTTGTGTCGTGATGCAACTGCGTTTCTGTGGTTTATTGTATGTTAAATGTTTTTTCTACTGAATGAAATCATTGACTCATCGTTGTTTGTTTGTTGGTCAAATATTAATGAAGTAAATATTCTAAATGCCTCAAAGTTTGATGTTTATTGGACCACTTTGGTGTGAGTTAATAAAATGTGACTATAAACTGAGCTGAATTACACATATTGTTATAATAAAGGTGGAAAAGCAGCTCCTGTTAATGATCCTGTAACAGATTTGTTATATAATCCAACATTAAACATTATAACTCAGTAAAGCATGGGGAGACCTTTGTACGTTGCACCAGAACATAAAACTATAGTTTGATATAAATAAAATATTCAATTCACATTATTTAACGTTTTTATACTTAACATGTAAAGTTATACTTTGGAATTACTAAAGTTTAAATGTATTACATTGTTTAAGTGATATATATGTCAGCCATTAATAGTAATAATATTACTTTACACAGTAACTAAAGGTGTAATTAGTTACATTACTTTTGTTGTCTTCTGATCTGAAATCCAACAATTAAATTTACACTATTGATTCATTTTTATGATCGTGGAGGAAATATTACATTACTTTGATTTTAACAAAGAAAACTGGATTTAATCCTCATAAATCTTTAGTTGGGATTATTATTAAGGTAATTATAACTAGTAATGTAACTAGTTACTGTTGGCAGGGAGGAATAAGTAAAGCAATCAAGAGTATTGAGTAACTTTATCGTCAATAGGTCAAAATATTGATAAATGTGGCTGAATTAAAGCCAGAAGTACGGAAGCCCATTACTGCCAATGTAACAGAGAGAAAGTAAATCATTAAAATAAACTTTAAATATTTTGACTTAATATCTCACAAATATTGACTTTGTGTTATTAAGTCAATATTTTGTAAAAGTTTTTTTTTTTCACATTTGCAGAAATGAGCTTCCGTACAAGCAGCGACAGAATAATTTCGAATAAACTATAAATTACTTTAATTTGTAACTCCATACTCCGTTGGTTCCAGAGAGAAACGTTCCTCTTTGGTTCATGTTTCCAGTCGGACATCATTTCTGTCTGCACCGTCTCCAAACATTCCCGCGTATTTCTGCCGGTAACAACACTTCCGTGCGGTGATGATGCTGCACCGGAGCCGGTGACAACAACATGGAGGCTGACACCGGGGCCGGCAGCGTGTCCACGGCCGAGATGCTGAGAGGAGTCGTGGCCGAGAAGCTGACCGCCGCCGCGCTGGAGATCTTAGCGGTGGTGGAGAGAACCGTGGCCGGGTACGAGGAGGAGGCTGCGGGGCTGAGGCTGGAGGTCGACCGGCAGAGGAGACAGCTGGAGGCTCTGCTGTCCATCTCCGCGGAGATCAAACTGGAGGCAGCAGGTCGGTGTCCGGGTGAATGTCTGCAGGGAGCACCGCGATGTGTCCTCTCCGCAGGGAGAACCGGAAAGACGAACCCGGTTTAGAAAAACGTTAATTAAATGTTTTTTTGCTAATGTTAAAACTCACCGACATCTACGGGCTCGGTATAAGAACTGTTAATGTCACTCATAAATTCGGCCAACATTCAAACTCACTGTCTGCTTTAAAACGTAAAATAAACGGTACAAAGTCCTCATGACCGCGTTTAAACTGGACAAATTCAGCGGTAGAAAGTGAATTTACTCAAGTGCAGTTTTGAATGGAAAACCTGGAAATTCAATAGATTAATTTTCCAGTAATGGAAAGACATGGAAATGGATTAAAATGACCAAATATCCTGTAAATAATATATGTTGTGTTTGATCCTGTGCTTACGACCTCTGATTAAATTACATATTATATCAATAACAGTAAAGCAACAACTGATGAGCTGTAAACAGTGAACTCAATAACAGTTTGTATAAAACCAGAGATTTTGATGAATTTTTAGCATATTATTTCCTGTGAATATTGATCAGAGATGAGTTTTACTGATATTATTAGTTTAATAATAACTTAATAGGATTATTTCTTGCCAGATTCAGTGTTTTATTAGTTCTTTTGGTACTTTGTTTTAAAGCAGGACGATGAGTTAAAGGCCTACTGTGTGGATTTTTAAAGGTTTCTAACATGCTTTAAAATCAAAAAGTCCTCGCGACCCCTTGTGGGCCTCCTGAATATTTGTATTTATGTGATTCAGCAGCAGATTTCTGATCACGATCTCGTTTTCATTGATCAACCCTGCTGTCTGTCTCTGATCCAGATGACCAGTTTCCTGTCTGTGAGCCGGCGGCGGGAGGAAGAGCTGAACTCCCCGAAGAGGAACAGCGGCACAAACAGGAGCCGAGTACGTTTGTTTTTATTTATTGAAGAATCAAACCTTCACCTCCTGTATGGCATTAAACAGGTAGTTCTGACCCTGTTGCCCCGCTATGTGTCCAGGTGTGGAAGACAGCGGGAGTCTGGGCCTCGTCTGCTCCACTGTGGAACGGATGGAGGAGGATGAAGAGGATGAAGAGGAGCATCCGGAACATCTCACAGAACCAGATTGTGAAGAATCATTAAGGTTAGAAGTCATCAGTCACACTACACGTGTCATAAACCTCAGAGATTGGCATCCATCACCCAAACAAACCAACACAAATATACAGAACTTCCTGTGTTGTGTTTGTTCAGAAGTTATCAAGACTCGTTAGAGCTGGTTTATAATCAGAGTTCTCCTGGAAACTTATAGACTAGTTTTACTTTCATCCAAACACCCGGAAATTCATTAAAGTTACCAAATACCCTGGAAACGTTTTAATTGTACTTTGGTCTTTCTCTTTTGGTCTCGCCTTCGAGCCACCTGGAGTCGCAGTGTAACAGTGAACTGCAGGGCCAGATAGCACCACCTAGTGGTGATCTCAGTGATTACACAATTAAAAAGTAAACAAAATTATTACATTTATTCTTATGTCATCAATCAGAACACAATAAACTCAGGTACAGGTAGTGTGGCTCCAACGTGTGTTGACAAAGAAAACTCCTGACAAATAATAAAGAGTGGGAACTGGAACTGTTGTCATAGCAACGCGTTATTGAGCCCCAACCGAGTTTGGTGTATTGAGTCGTTGATTGATCATGGCGAAGAGTTTTGGTGTCAAACGCCCAAATCAGCAACCACACAGCGAGACTGAATCCTGAAGACAGCCGGAGGTATCTGAACACAGCATCATGTCTTCCTTTCTTCAGGTTTTTGACTTCCACAGTTCAGTCTGACAGGAGGAGTGCTGACGGACCTGCGATCAGGGAATCAGAGGACCACATAGACCTCAGGATCCGCATCCTGCAGGACTGTCAGATCAAAGTGCTCTCACCCCACGGTAAATTTAATCAGTCGGTCGGTAAAACTTTCCCAAGAATTGAACCAGTGTTGTCAGCTGGTGGTCTTTAGTAACGGCCGAGCTAACCGAAAGCTGTCTTTGTGTTTCAGCGTTTACGAAGTTCCCACTTCTGGAGCTGCAGTGTCCTCGTGGGCTGCAGGAGGCAGACTTCCTGGACCTGCTGAGGTCCACCTTCCCTCAACTGGCTGCTCAGGAAACTTTTGACCTCTTCTTAACTGACAAAATGAAGAAACTACACCCGCTCAGAGTGGAGACTCTGACGCCAGAGGAGATCTGTAAGACCACTGGAAGTGCAACCCTCTACATCCGACTGAAGGTACTTTATCTGCTGCACCAGTTCAACCTCAGAGACGAGATCTGTTCTCTGCAGCCCTCAACTTCTGTCTTACTTTGACTTATTTGTTATAGGTCAAAATAACAAATATCCTTTTGTAAAGCGTCAGTATTTGGTTTGTTTTTGGTTGGAACTTGTTTTAGCTGCCTGAGGGAGTCCAGCCCCAAGAGAGAGAACCTCTGCACAGAGAAGATGCTGCTCCAGATTCTCCGTCCACAGATCAAACCGGACTGAACACAAGGTAAAAACACAAAGAGCTGCTTCTCTGTAGGAGAGAGAACAAGTGTATTCCTCTTCTAAACCTTTGTTATTGTCACCCAGAGTTCAGTCTGACAAGAGGAAGCCCAGCAGACGTCAGAGGAGTGAACCTCCGAACCTAATACATCTCAGGATCTGCATCCTGGAGGACTCTCGGATCAATAGGCTCTCAAACAAAGGTAAATGTACTCAGTCACTCTGTCTTGAGTTCTCCGATAAGAAGTTAAAGAGTAACTTCTGTAATTTTAAAGTTGGGATTTTTTTTCTTCCTGTGACTGATTAACGGCAGAATGCAGGAATCATTGGTGTATATGCTGCCTGTAAGGGCCACTTAATCCCCGTTACCTACAGTACTGTAGATAAACAAGTACCGTCATGTTTTCAGAATTTTGGCATCTACTTGGTACCAAAGTATCGGTTCACGTGACATCTGCACTTCAAAGCCCCAATAATGGTATTTTGGACCTTCCCTACTTGCTACTAACAGTACTTCAACCAAATATCTGTTGCTTTCTGTCACACTTCAGAGAGATCACTTAGATAAAGTATCAAACAGCTCTTAAGGTCCGGAGACATCGGGCCACCTGACTGCCTGAGCGTGTAGAATCCACGGCAGGGGTCACAGGTGAGAGACATCGCTCTGATTGCCTATTCAGCTGAAGTGAATCAGTGCACGAGATGAAAAACAGAAGCGAGCAAAGCAGCAAATGACTTCATCAAAAGGAAAAACGAAAGCTTCAACTTCATCTCATCTGATTATTCAAATTCACGGGTATTTAGACAACAAGAAGCTGTTTTACGAAACCGTCTGAGCGAGCGAACCAAAGGGCTGTTTTCTTATATCCGCTGTCTGAGGACTCCTGCTGTTCTTTCTCAATGAGGGATCCGGACTACCGCCACCTGCTGGTATGGAGACTTATTAACTCCTGTGCAGGCGAAGAACGTACATTATAGTTGTCCGTTCGCTGTAGTCAGTTCAGCGTGTTCTAGTATCACTGTTTGGCCGAGACGCAGGCGACGCAACTCCGCTTAAGTCGGCGCTAGTTCTTTGACGTTGATTTGGTGTGTTGGGGCCTTTAGGGACAGACGTACAACCCTCTCTTGAAAGAAGCCAACCCTTTCTGTGGCATCTGGCATTTAGCCAAATAAAAGTTTAAAAACTTGTAAGACTCAGAACCAGACTGCCTCGGCTTACTGAGACTAGAGTTTCTGAAGCAGATAAACTTGCACTCGTGTCTCTGTGTAAACTCAGTGATGCAGTAAACGGTTGGTGACCAGCAGCCACAACTGTGTCAAGAATTTAAACAGTATAATTTTTAATTTAGTTTTATTTGTAGAGTGCCAATTCATAACAGAAGTTCTAACAGGTCTAGACCGTACTCATTATAAAATTATTTGCAGAGACCCCAATAAATCCCACAATGAGCAAGACCTTGGAGACAGGGGCAAGGAAAAACTGCCTGTTAAAAGGCAGAAAACCTCAAGCAGACCCCGGCTCTATTTAATCAGTCGGTCGGTAAAACTTTCCCAAGAATTGAACCAGTGTTGTTAGCTGGTGGTCTTTAGTAACGGCTGAGCTAACTGAAAGCTGTCTTTGTGTTTCAGTGTATAAGAAGTTCCCGCTTCTGGAGCTGCAGTGTCCTCGTGGGATGCAGGAGGCGGACTTCCTGGACCTGCTGAGGTCCACCTTCCCTCAACTGGCTGCTCAGGAAACGTTTGACTTCTTCACATGTGGCAAAAAGAAGATACTGCAGCCGTTCACAGTGGAGGCTCTGACACCAGAGGAGATCTGTAAGACCACTGGACGTTCAACCATCTACATCCGACTGAAGGTACTTAAACCAGTTTAACCTCAGAGACAGGATCTGTTCTCTGCAGCACTCAACTTCTGTCTTAATACTCCAGAAAGGTCAAAATAACAAATATCCTTTGTAAAGTATTTGGTTTATTTTCGGTGGGAACTTGTTTTATTCGCCTAAGGAAGTCCAGCCCCAAGAGAGAGAACCTCTGCACAGAGAAGATGCTGCTCCAGATTCTCCGTCCACAGATCAAACTGGACTGAACACGAGGTAAAAACACAAAGAGCTGTTTTTCTGTAGGAGAGAGAACAAGTGTATTCCTCTTCTGATCCTTGATGTTATTGTCACCCAGAGTTCAGTCTGACAAGAAGAAGCCCAGCAGACGTCAGACAAGTGAACCTCTGAACCTAATAGATCTCAGGATCTGCATCCTGGAGGACTATCGGATTAATGTGCTCTCAAGAAACGGTAAATTTATAGTTCTGTATTCAGAATAATAAACCTTGTCTAAGAGGTGTTAGAGGCTCAACACTGTTAAACTCCTTGTCGTACGTTTTCAACATTTTTTTATGACTTTTATTTGAAACAGTGTTTTAATTGTACTTTTACTCAAGTATATTATCCGAATATTTCCTCCAGCACTGATCATGTCTGGTTTGGCTCATGAAGAGCAGGTTTGGGGAGTCTCACTGTTTTTAGGTATTTTATGTCACCCAGAATCTTTTTGGGTTGAAAAAAAAAAACATTCTCCAGACTGTTTTAGACTGTTAAAGAGGGCTATATCGGCTTTAGATGGTTTGAATACTGGAGAAAGTTTCCCTCTTGTGTTTCAGTGTATAAGATGTATAAGCTTCGCAAGCTGCAGTGTCCTCATGGCCTGCAGGAGGCGGACTTTATGGACCTGCTGAGGTCCACCTTCCCTCAGCTGGCTGGCCAGGAAACTTTTGACTTCTTCTTAACTGACAAAACGAAGAGACTACAGCCGCTCAGAGCGGAGGCTCTGACACCGGAGGAGATCTACAGAAGCATCAGGCTGAATGGATCGGGAAACTCAGCCCTCTACATCCGCCTGAAGGTCTGATTTCTGACATTATCTACTGCACATTCACAGGAAATCCTTTGATACTAGCAGGTACTTCTGTGCAGTTAAAGAGGATGTCGCTGCTTTTTGCTGGAAATATGATTTGGATATAAAACTCTTTCAGGCACAAGAGGAAGTCCAGACCAGTGAAGAAGAACTTCATCGCGCTGTTAAAGTTTCTTCATCCACTTCTAAACTAAGCAGGCTGAACACAACAAGGTAAATCAGACTATTTCACAGGAACCCAAAATGTTTGTTTTCTGTATCTGACTTTCTGAGTATTAGTAAACCAGCTTGTTTTGGTTTTAGTTTAGTTATTTGTTCCGAGGCTGAGACAGAATGTTTTAAGTAAGTAAGTGTTTTTATTACATATATCTTAAGATATATGTCACCTATACGCCAGCATCTGTCCTAGCAATGGCAGAAAATTCATTTTCTAAGTATTTCTGGGCACTCATTTTGCATTTTTTCTCTCTCTTATGACGCTGCCTGAGCATTTCTGAGGGCAGATGTATTACAGACGTCTATGGCCTCACTGATTACTGTACAAAAGCACAACTTTAAGACCTTATTCAATGATTTTACAAAGGAAATATTGTCTGGTTTTCCCTCTGACACTCCCCTGGCTACCAGTGCAGGTATACTCTGCTAATAGGGCCGCAAAGTTAGCCAACTAAGTAACTAGCTAATGGCAGCTAGTACAACTAGCAGCAGCAGTTAGCCTTAGCTAAAAGTCCCCCACATTGTTCTCTATGAATGAAAAAAATGTTCAAGCTTTAAATCACATACTTAAATGTACTAAATGGTAAATTTATGTATTTTATTGTAGAGACGTATGCAGCCAAATAATTGATTCCTATAAGCTGGACTGTGCCAGTGATTTAAAGACATCAAATAAAAGCCTTTCAATGGTTCTGTCTATCTTTGTAACTCTCTGATTTTGTCCATCAGCTCAAGATCACAACATGAAGACCTGGAAACAGTGAAAGCTGAGGATGAAGATGGTGGAAGATCAGAGTCGGCCGTCAGTCGTCTCTGGTCTCTGCTGGTTCTCTCTGAGAGTGCAGCAGACGGAGGCGAGCTGAGCGATGATGACTGGAAGTCAGACAAAAGAGAGAAACATGTGAGGGAAAATGAACCTGAGAAGATGACGAGAAAGAGACGAGTCAAACAAATGAAGCAGTCGTCTACGAAGGCATCGACCGATAACGGTGACGCCTCTCTGTCCTGTAAAGTCTGTGGAACTTTGCGCGGGACTGCGAACATGTTGAATAAACACGCCTGGAGTCATGTGGACGATCCAAAGCGGCTTTGTGGAGTGTGTGGAGAACATTCAGAGTCTGAAGAGCAGCTGAGGAGTCATCTTCAAAGTCACCAGAAAACTCACAGCTGCAACATCTGCGGAAAGTCTTTTCTCTCCACCAACGGCCTCAACGGACACATCGCTCGACACACAGGAAAGAAACCATTCAGTTGTAAGGTCTGCCATAAAACGTTCGCTCAGAGTTGGGTGCTAAAGAATCACATGTGGGTCCATGTGAGTGATAAGCCAAACAAATGTGATTTTTGCCAAAAATCATTTACTTCAAAGATTGATCTCAGGCGTCACAGGTTGAGGCACACGGGCGAGCAACTGCACCACTGCAACTTGTGCGGTAAATCCTTACGCTGCCTTGACGCGTTATCCAAACACAAACAGAGTCACGCAGTCAGAGAAACAACGTTCACCTGTCAGATCTGCAGCAAAACGTTTAAAACACACCAGAAGTGTCAGGTCCACATGAAGGTCCACGCCAGGGAGAAACCTTACAAGTGCCCTGTCTGCTTCATGGCCTTCAGATTCAAACACTCTATGAAAAGACACATTAAGACTCACCGGGAGGGATCAGACCTCCGCAGGACTGAAGCTCCAGTTCAGGTTCTAGCTAACAGACTCAACGGCACTAAAAGTGTTGTTAAACGAGTCCGGTGATTTTTAGATTATTTTATCCACAAAGTGTTTTCTTGTTAAATATGTTGAAAAATGTTACAGAAAGCACGAAGCTCGCTATAATCTACATTATGGTTAATGTCAAGAAATCTCCAACAGTTCATTACTTCCTGTCTGCGTCTCTAAGCTCGGAGGAAGAAGATTCACACACAATACTTGTCAGAAGGTTAATTCACTGTTGGTCTTTTTTTAAGAATTTCATTTAAGAATGTTTGTGCAGTGTCTCACATTGTCACTTATTATCTACAGAAATTCAAGTTACCATGTCAAGCGCACAAAAATGTTCATTATTTTAATGGCAACAGAAATGTACAACGTCCTTTGATGGGAAACATCTAAAGTTAATGTCTAATTTTTATCTGTGTTTTTAAAATTACAGTTTTAGGGTTAAATTTGTAAGATTGTTTTTACAGTAAATTGTTAGATATTAGTTTCCTTTTTATGAGTGACATTGTGTCATTGAGTCCAGCACCCAGCCAATGTCTCTAAACACAGGAATAATACTCTGTGTGCAGAAGTTGTTTATTCTGAATATGTTTTGAATGCAGCATTGATTTGATTGTTGATGATTGTCTTGAGTTTTGTTTACCAGTAAACATTTCCAACTGCTTGTTTCTGTTGTTCTGTTGTTGTATCAGTGCCAGATAAATTAAATGTGTCAACAAATGCCAAGTGCCAGAGAAGAGGAAAATGCTGAATTTCTCAAAGAGGAAGTCTATAAGGTATGTAGGATTGTTGAAAATGATAGAAAATACATCATATAGACAGAATCGGACAATAGGTTCCCTTAACAAGAAAGTTATCTGTTAATGCATCTAAATAAACAATATTCACGATGAACTACACTGGATCAAACACAGCTTAACACACATCTGATATTATCTGGAGGGGAACAGAAAAGTAACATTTATGAGTCAACAACAGTCTTATTCTAGTCACCCAGACAGATTCACTGACTGTGTTCAGGTCCTGAGTAGAGAGAGTCTGACTGGACGTTGTTACTGGGAGGTGGAGAGGAGAGGGAGAGGAGTTAGTGTAGCAGTCGCATACAAGAATATCAGCAGAGCAGGGGGGTCAGATGAATGTGTGGATTTTAGATTATGACACAAACAGTTATAACTTTTGGTACAACAAAGTCCAAACTCCTGTCTCAGGTCCTCAGTCCTCCAGAGTTGGAGTGTACCT